ATTTTTGTGTCTTATTTTAATAATATTTGTACAATTTCATTATTAAAATATAATTAAAATTATTTAAAATATAATATCAATAATAAAATAATAACCCTATATAATAACTTTAATTAATAACAGTATGTGATCGTTTGAATTAATATTCATTACTTACATTATAATTTAATTAGAATATTACAGCATTTATATGCTTCTTTGTATTAAATATATTTATTATGTATTTTTAAAATAGTTTGTATCTTATGTACGTAAAAAATAATCTACTACTATTATTTATCTGCTGTGCTGATGAATTTTCTTCAATTTTTTGAAAAGTTCGAATTTTTATATTTTGGAGAAAATCACGCAGAAAAATTTAAGCAAATTCCTTTAATTTACCTGCATTGTCACGAAGAAATCGAAGAAATTTATTTTAAATGAAATTGATAAATTAAATGAAACTGATAAATAAGAATGAATTAAGTATGACATCAAACTATATTTGTCAAAATAGCAATGGTTTCTAACAATTTGCGTAAAAGCAAAAGTGAAAGCGCCATCATCTAAATATACGACGAGGTTTCTCTTAAGCGCGACGAAATTTCACACCTCGTGCATCAGAATAATGAAGATCAGCCGTCCTGATGTAACTCATTCGTTACACTGTGAATAATTTCAAAATTGAATGTGAGACAGATTTGTCAGGTTAAAGGGTGTTTTGCAAAATTTTCACAAAATTATTCTCGATGCGTCATTCGTCAACAAGAAGATGTGTGACAATAAAAGACTATTCAAACACTGCCCATCTCGCGATCGATAATACCTTATTTACAATTTACAATTGCGAACATCATGACATCAAATTACGCCGATTTGCGCCATCATACTTTTAAGAATGTTCGGCGTCACAAAGCATTCCTTGTAGATACGACTGCAGTCATGCCCTTCTCGACCTATTCTGATAGCTTCCTGAAGGACTGTGCCATTTGTGAATTCCTTAAACCACTTGTGACTATTTGAAATAATTAAGATAAATTCATATAAGAAACATGAACTTTAGAATTTAATTCCTTATGTAACCAATTAAAAATGTTCCGCATATATTCTTTTATTTGATTCAATAATCTTTATATATAATTTTTCTTGATTGAATAGTTGATGTGCTTTGTTACAAATTTTAATGTCTTTGTAATTGGACAAAGCATAATATACGAGTGTAATTCTCAACGATTTATTAAGAAAAAAAAACAAATTTTTACTCTTGCTTTAATCGTTTTTTAATTGTAATGTATTTTATCATTCAATATGAATGATATTAATTAGTTATCTTACTCTTAACATATTACTTGTCCAGTTTGTTTCTTTCAGGTCTTTCCCTCCAAATTTAACAGAGTTTATTACAGAGTTTATATTCTATTAACTTGATTAAATTATCAATGTAGTAAATACTCATTAAATAAGCAAATAAATTTTTCCATCCAAAATATTATTATTATATATAATATTATTTTTTTTTATATTTTTTTAAAAAATAAAATAAAATTTAAAAAATAATATTATTTTTAAAAAATAATATTAGTCATACCTTGATAATCCATCGATAATCTTATCGGTACTCGAAGGATTGTCGGAATGACTCGCCTCGGAAACGATGGTGCAAATAATGCGCTGGACGCAGGGTGTGATGTATCGATTGCTAAACACAATTTCGTTTATCGTATCTCCCATTTGCGACCATTGCGAGTCGAGACCTGACACAGAAATTCACACTCCAGATAATTCAAGAATATTTACAATAAATTTATTATCTTAACACAGAACAGTGAATAGGAATGAAACTCATACTTCGATATTGCATTCCCGGGCCTGGCTTCGATAAAAGAGGCACTGCCAAAGTAAGAATGGCTGTTAACACGCCAGCGATTGACAATCCTTTCGTGTTAACGTTAAGCAGTGGTAACACTTCGCCATTCTCGCTCACGTGATTCATCGGTATTGAGAAAAAGGGTACTGATACATCCCAAGTGATCTGGAAAATTCAAATGGGAAGATCTCTCAAACGATTTGAAATCAAATTCTTTAGAAATGATTCGAAGTTGAAGAAAATCCGTTCAATTATATAATAAGAATTAATTCTCGTGAAATTTACGTATTTCAAAAATTTCCACTCAATCAACTTCGATACTCACTTCGACTTCTCCACCTTTAGTGTCAAACGAGATGAATTGCGGTTTTTGGCCATTAAGATTCATGAACGTCCGTGAATTGCCGTCGCCAATTACTCGCACGAAGAACAACGCGAAGGGTAGAAGAATCAGAGCGGTCGAATCCGTTGGTGTGGTCCTCATGTTCAAAGTCTCTTTAAGAATAATTGAAGTTAGGAACAGTTGAAGATAAAACGTTAATACTTTATCGGATTCTCGATATCCTCGACTTTCTGCCGCCCGCGAAGTAATGAGATGCATTTGTGCTATCCAAGTGCTTTTCAACGTTCCAGTGTAGCAGACCCCCACTAATTTGTCCCGTTCGTAACAGGCTTATTTGCCCCTATCAAAACAGGAAATACTGATTTCTCGCGACGGAATTAACGAACCCAAACAGCGAAATCCAAAATAATGTATTATTAATTACTGTTGCATTTCGCGAGTTGCTTTTAGATTTTGCCGCGCACCGGGGAGAGATAAAGGAATAATTATGAGCGGCTTCTCGTGACTTATTATAAATATAATTTTTCATCTGGTGCAATAAAAAGAGCGAATGTGACGACGAGTCAATTAGAATTATAGACTCGGCCAGCTGTAACTTTCAGTGAATTTCCCGGAGCACCGTCTAGAACCGACTTCTTCGTCAAACTCGAAACGGGGAAGAACGCGACACGCGAGCTTCGCGAAAGGTGACTTTGATTCACGCTCTGGCTTCTCCCCGCGCAATTTGTAGCGAACATGCAACGTATAGATGGAATTTCTTTCCGAGAAATTTCCGGAAGGATTCCGATATATGATCTCATAGCGTGAACTCTGCTATTTACATACGCTTTCGCAGTTTCTTGCATTTAAATCCTTAATCCTATTTTTGATCTTTCGTTTGGTGTCTTTTTGATTTGTATCTCTTTGACTTTATCGACTAATTATCGACTTTTATAAATTTGTTTAATATTCTTCTCCCCACATAGAAAAAATGTAGGAAAGAAATATGAATTAAAATTCTAGTAGAATTTATGAAATTGGCAAGTCAATATAGGGACAAACACTCACTTATGAAAATTTATTTTACTTCTCTGGTAAATGAACATCGTCATATAATAAGATCATTTTTACATTTTGTAAAATAAATTTTGAGAATAGTATGATTTACTTTCTTGTAAGATAATGATCAATTGAACGGATTTACCATTATTTAATTATATTTTTTATCTTACACTTCTAATATTTTTACTTTCAGAACAAGTAAAGATTGTCAAAGTTCGACAAAGATAATCAGAATATTTTTATTAATCCAGTAAAGTAAAAATTATTCAACCATTTTTTCGCATTTTTTACTATAAATTAAAACTTATTTTTTTTGCAAACTCTTCTACAAATTTTAAATGCTTCTTGTCTATTATATGTGCTTTCTATTGATTTATTTTATCTTTTTTGCAAAATTAGAATCCTTTGGAGCGCAAATTACGTTAATATTATTCTGTTTAATCGCGTACATTAACGATTATTAACATTATAACGATTATTAAATTTAATTTCATCTTTCCAAATCAAATTGCATCATATCGTTCTTTGAAAACGTAATCAAAATTAACTACGTAAACAATTAGATACAAGTCATAACTATTCCAAAGTTCCACACATTTCGTAACGCGCTACAGGAAATCGTAACATGGACAAGATCACTTCAGCCGCGAGAAGACGGAGACCGAAATCGCGAAATTTTGTATGTCAAAAATCAGTGAACATCTTAAGAGGACATTGTTGACGGTCGGCCATTATTTCAGCCTCGGAATTTCAAACGGAGTAACCTGTGATGACAACGTGGTTGCAGTCGTTGCAGAAGAAGAAGAAGAAACGGCCTTCTCTTCGACGAAGGCGATGACAAGGAGACGTCATGCACCACGAAGACTTAACAATGAAAGCGAAACCGGGACTTCAATTATCATCCACGACTTGTGTTCAGACGACCAGAGCGACTATATATGACTGAAAGCAGACATCACACAGTCAGTCCGTAACACTGAATCATCACCTATCTCATCCTAGGATATATCTCAGTTTCCACGTTGTATCTTAAAGAATTCGCTTTTCCTTTATCGCTATCGAAGGTATTTACTCGATCCACTTTAAATAATTACGTTCATATTTGCCTGATATATGTCACGAGAAAGTCTTCGACAAATTGCTATCTTGATTCATCGTAACGCAATGTTCGCAAAGTATTCTATAAGATTTATAATACATTTTAGAAATTTAATTATTCATCTAACTGTAAATAATAAAAGTGCCGAATTAAACATCTAATTTTTGACAGTATTTAAACAATATTTTTAGCTTTACGAAAAGATATGTTCTTTGTTGTGAAATATTGTAGAGTATCATATTCGTACAATATTCATTAAAACACGTAGATATTATCGACGTTTAATTTATTATAATAGATTAATATTATATTATATTAATATATTAATATAATATGCGTGTTAATCATTGATTCACCGAGAAAAATGTTTAGTTGGATTAAAAATTTTAAAATAGACGAATCGGAATTCTGACTAATATAATCTTTTGTGTCTGTTTTTAACTAGATATTTTCTCAGTATTTATTTTAAATTTTTTCTCAGATGACATTTTGTATCTCGCGAAGTTTAACCGTGACAATAATTAGCTGTTTCGTCATTCTGGTCAATTGCAGTCCGAAGTTCGATGATGGAGGGTAAGTCTTTTAACGGTTAAATTTTTAATACAAGGAATTTGTATTCAATATCTTTTTACAATATGTCCAACATTTCTTCCCAAATGTCACAGAAGTGCAAAAGACGCTTAAAAAGCATTCCAAAAGGGCTTAAAAATTAAAAAGAATTTAGATATCTAAAGAGAAAATTAATGTAATTTTTTATCGTTAAATTATCTGTGTTATATATCTGTCTTTGTACGTATCTATCGATAGTTTTGTGCCGAGTTCTATCAGCTACATGGAAAAACAGGCGAAAGCACAGGATCAGGTAGCTATGCCGTCTCAAATTAAACAGCACGACGAAATGTCGAAACGCGAATCCGAGATGAACGACATCGCAGATCGTAGCCAGGAGGCACGATTTGGTTTCACCAATGTCGGAAGTACAGGAAGTGTAAGTATTAGATCGAGTTTCTTTTCTCAGCTTTTTCTCATATTTTATTATAGGTATCTATTCTTTTGGGACATAATGCCACACTTCTTCTTTATCTCTTATTTCTACAATTTCTTTTCTTTCTTATTTCTTTTCCATCTCCTATTTCTATCCATCTCCTACAAAATTTTAGAAAATTTTCTTTAAAGTATTGTTGTACTCGATATTATCTTATTTTATCTTATTATTTTCGATAATAATTGAAGTCAATTAATCGGAAATTCAAAGTGGCGTAATTGAATTAAATTTACATAATCAACTAAATCCGAATCAGGGTTACGGTGTATCACCTTATGCGCCAGCAAAAATAGATCTTGGAGGACTTCTCTTGGGAGCTATCATAGGCGTGGGATCGATTCTCATCATCCCAAAGCTGCTCTATATCCTGTCAGGAACTTACAGTGCTTACGCGAGAAGTAAGTATTATATCCATAAAATGATATAGAAAAGTATTCTTATACCATGATAAAATTTATATATTGACTCGAGATATGAATCCCACGTTGTTCATTTTATTTGTTCTTAAATTTACAAAATTCAAATTTCATAGATCTCTTCCTCAAACTTCATGAAGCTTGATATTTTTTCATTATCGAAACATTAATAATTTCCGCGCTGTAAGCCATTAAAGAACTTCTCAGAATATTAGTTGACGTAATTTTTCAACTTCCATGCTTTTTCAGCTTGACGGATTCAAAACTTGATCAAATAAAATACGGAAAAATTCAAAACAATGTTATCCCTCTTTCTTTCTTCAATTTTCATTGAAAAAGAATTAATTTCAAATTTCACAAGGAATTTTCAGTGAACATTCCGTTCCTCTAGTATCCATAAAATGTATATCAATCCAACGCAGGTGAAGATAATGGCTTCACGCAGACTCTGACGAGGATCGATGATGTCTTGGCTCGCCATGGCATCGACACGACTTCGTGCATGCAACGTGCGGTATGCACCTACTCGCAACAGGCGGCCGCCGCAGTGGGCGACGAGGATGAGAACAACGGGAACGAGAAAGACCAGAAGGTAACGTCTTTCGAGAAGATGATGAACACAGTCACCAGCAACCAGATGTTCCGCACAGCTATGCAGGGCACGGCGATCGAGGAAGCAGTGGAAGCTGGTAGAAAGGGCAGAAATTGCTCAAGATCGTATCCACACTGCGGCTTCTCGATGGAGACCATGCTGTCGCTCTTGGCTAACGTCATTGCGACGGTGAACACGCGCGTCACGACGCCCACTGGTTCCTCGTTGTAATATTGCTTATGTAATTTTTACTTTTCAGAGAAAGACGATTATAATTTAAATAGCAGATTAAATAAATGGAAAAAGAAAAGAAGCGCATAAAAAATAAGCTCGCTGTATCTTGCGTATACTACACTATATGTGACAAAGAAAGAGGCAAGATAAGAGTTTAACAATTTAACAGGCAATAGATACGTAGAATTATTTATCATGAGCGGTGAAAGTCGGTAGTTTTTGCAGTATTTTAATTCGATTCGTACAACGATAGCTTCATCTTTATTTCGTCGAGAATTACATTTGTGTGTGTCGGGTGTCTATATGTATATTTGCAAATTAACAAAAGTGAAACCTCGGCGCAATCCCTGTGCTCTCACGTGTGCTCAGCGTGACATATTCTTCTTTCTCTCTTCGGTTACACATAGAAAATGTTATATAGTCTAATATGGCTTTCACATTGAGGAAAATAGAATCGACTAGAGTCGCGATACGATCGCAAGCGCATCGCGCTTAACACGTGTCAACAATCAGTACAGGCACTGCCCATGACGATGTATTTACTTACATGTTTATACAACATTCTCCCCGGACAACACAGCACGCATACACAGGCGCGAGGATGAATCGGAAAGTAAAGACACGATGGTTTCCCTACTTATTTCACTCTTCCGGCTTGTCACGGTGCAAGGCAACTTGAAAAAATGACTCCGTTTCGAGCATTATCTACCTAGA